TTTGAAATATTTTTAATGAAAAACTTATTCTTATACATAATATAGTTCCATCTTGTAAAACTTTTGAAATCATTTGTTTTATCTTTTAGCAATTTCATAGTCTATAGACATTGTAATTAATCTACTTAGAAGTTAATATTATTTATTAGTCTTCTATATATACAAGTAAATATTGCAAGTATAATACTCTTTTATTATGTAAATGAAGATTAATATGTTACATATTTTTGTACTATAATATACTAAATATCAATAAAAATGAATATTGATTTATGTATCAGTTTATAAGAGAAATTGTATTATGATATGACAATAATTAACATAAAAAGTACATTAGGTTAGGTATATAATACAGAGAATATTTTCAGATTCATAAAATTATTGGTTTTGCACCAACATTACTTCAAGTAGTAATGACTGCAGGAGAAATGCCTGTGAGACAAGCTGGTAATTAATAAGAGTAATTGTTATAAAAAGAAATAAGAATTAATTAATGATAATACAATATCAATTTAGGTGTTATATATTTGAAGAATCTTATTACAACAAGTTGGGCTGATAAACAAAATGAAAACGGATCAGGTAAGTTCACTATTCATGAGCAAGATCGTGCAATGATTCGTGATGCAATTGTTGACGCTCTTGGACATGCACCAGATCTTATCAGGTGAGAATAAGAACTTATAATCTCGATCATAAAAGTTGAATACTATGTGTAACATAATATTCTTATAAGTCATTTTAATAAATTTACTTTTTTAATGATCTAGAGTACAATTGGCTGTTTGTGTAAATAATATAGTAAAACATGATTTTCCTGGAAGATGGACACAAATAGTGGACAAAATCACAATATATTTACAGAATTCTGATGCTTCCTGCTGGCCAGGTGTTCTTCTTGCACTTCATCAACTTGTTAAAAATTTTGAGTACGTTATTGCTATTTATTATTCTGTATTAAAAACAAAAAGAATCATTACTCAAATTAATGATTAAATAAAACAAATTTGAATAAATTAAAGAAAAGGCAGGATATAAAATATAAAGAAATATTATATACTTTTCAAATCACAATAAAAATTTAGTAACACTAAAAATAATTATTGACATTTTTTAGATATAAAAAAGCAGATGAAAGAGGGCCATTAAATGAAGCAATGAATCTCTTGTTTCCTATGATTTATCAATTAATATTACAACTTTTACCAGATTCTTCAGAACAATCAGTATTGCTACAGAAACAGATATTAAAGATATTTTTTGCCCTTACGCAAGTATGTAGGTTTTAAACAAGTTACTTTATATGAAAGTATTTAATAATTGTTTCATTACCATTTATTATTCTTTTTTCAGTATACACTTTCTTTAGATCTGATTTCAAAAGAACATTTCTCGCAATGGATGGACGTGGTACGACAAGTAGCTGACAGGCCTGTTCCACCTGAAACTAATAATCCAGATCTGGATGATGATGAACGAGCTGAATTACCATGGTGGAAATGTAAGAAATGGGCTCTTCATATTCTACACAGGATGTTTGAGAGATATGGAAGTCCTGGAAATGTAACACAAGAATACAAAGAGTTTTCTGAGTGGTACTTGAGAACCTTTAGTGGAGGGATACTTGAAGTACTTTTGAAAATTTTGGACCAATATCGAAGAAAAATATATGTGTCACCTAGAGTGATTCAACAATCAATTAATTATATTAATCAAGGGTAAGCAGCAAAATAAATTCATTTAGATATTCATATTGCAACAAAATTTACTTGAATTTTTGTGCTCTTATTCAAATTTGTTTGCTTTCTTTAATTTTAAGAATGATCTAATTGAGTATTGTTAACTTTTAATTTTTATTGAATATCAGTTTTAAATCCTATGAAGTTGCAGTCTGAAAATTTTCTGTTTCAATGTATAGAGTGAGTCATGCACATTCATGGAAGTTCTTAAAACCACACATGTTTGAGATAATTCGCGATGTACTCTTCCCAATCCTTTCATATTCCGCTGCAGATGAAGAGCTTTGGAATAGTGATCCATATGAATATATAAGGGTGAAATTTGGTGAGATATTTTATGTAAAATAAAATTTATTCTTTGTGTCTAATTTTTTGTTGCATTATTCCAAAAACACTTAATAAATCAAGTAATTTATTTACTTTTTAGATATATTTGAAGATTTTGTATCTCCAGTTACCGCAGCTCAGACATTATTACATTCTGCTTGCAAGAAGCGTAAAGATATGCTTCAAAAAACTATGCAATTCTGCATGGAAGTACTAACTAGTCCAAATGCAGACCCTAGACAAAAAGATGGTGCATTACATATGGTAATTATCTGAGTAGGAAAAAATTTGTATATAAAGTAGAAAAATAAAATTTTCTAAAAGCAAGCTTTCTATAGATTGGAAGTTTGGCAGACGTGTTGTTAAAGAAGAAAGTTTATAAAGAAGAAATGGACAAAATGTTATTACAATATGTTTTTCCCGAATTTAATAGTCCTCATGGACATATGAGGGCGAGAGTAAGTGATATGTACTTACATTATAATCTGTTTGGACTTCGTTAAAAGTTAATCGTTCATTTAATTAATAATTCTTTTATAATAATTATATTTCAGGCATGTTGGGTATTACACTATTTCTCGGAAATAAAATTTAAGCAAGAACAAATATTAGTTGAGGCCGTTCGGTTGACGACGAATGCTCTTCTGACAGACCAAGATCTACCAGTTAAGGTAGAAGCTGCTATTGCATTGCAGATGCTTCTTTCTGCTCAAGAGAAAGCACAAAGATATGTGGAACCCCTAATCAAGCCTATAATCCTTGAGTTATTAACTATCGTACGAGAAACAGAAAATGACGATTTAACGACTGTTATACAAAAGATAGTTTATACATATTCAGAGCAGATTATGTCAATTGCAGTTGAGATATGCCAACATCTTGTAAGTATAATTTTCTGTTTTCATTATTTTATAATGCAAAGAGTTAAACAAATTTTTTAATGTTTTTAGGCTGAAACATTCAGCCAAGTGCTTGAAACAGATGAAGGCAGTGATGAAAAAGCTATAACTGCTATGGGATTGTTAAATACAATAGAAACTTTGTTGACTGCGATGGAAGATCAACCACATATCATGGCACAGTTGCAACCAATAGTTCTTCAGGTTCTTGCCCATATTTTTGGAGAAAACGTAATGGGTAAGCTAAGTGTTAATAATACAAGTAAAAACTTTTGATTTAAAATGCTTTATAAAAAATATTAAAAATATTTACAATTCTCCTTTGTATCTTAGAATTCTATGAGGAAGCCCTTTCATTAGTTTATGATCTTACTGGGAAAATAATTTCGGAAGATATGTGGAAAGTCTTAGAATTAATGTATCAGCTATTCCAGAAAGATGGTTTCGAATATTTTATCGATATGATGCCTGCTCTTCATAATTACATTACTGTCGCTACCCCAGCGTTCTTATCTAATGAAAACCATGTATTGGCTATGTTTAATATGTGCAAAGCTGTACGTTGATCATGTTTTTATAAAAAAGAAAATAAGTATTATATTGATTAATTTATTTTACGCCCTAGGTACTAACAGGAGATGCTGGAGAAGATCCAGAATGCCATGCTGCCAAATTACTGGAAGTCATAATTCTACAATGCAAAGGTCATATCGATCAGGTAAAATTTTTATTTCAGTTTGTTTCTTGCTCTTCAGTTTACTTAATAAAAATTGAATAAATTTTACATCGAAAATTATTTTTTTAGTGTATACCGTCATTCGTTCAATTGGTACTAGAACGTTTAATGCGCGAAGTTAAAACATCAGAGTTAAGAACAATGTGTTTGCAAGTAGTAATTGCAGCCCTTTATTATAACCCAGCACTCTGTCTCGAAACAATGGATAGATTACAAGGCAATTTTGGACAGTCTACAGAACCAATTGCGTCACATTTTATTAAACAATGGATACACGATACGGATTGTTTCTTAGGGTACATTATTTTATAATCTTGTTTTTCATAAAAATAGTATATATTTTTATAAAAACAATATTTACCTTTTTTAGATTACATGATAGAAAGCTTTGTGTCCTTGGATTATGTACTTTGATTAGTATGGGACCAGCAAGGCCACCAGCAGTGAATGAATGCGCTCAACAAATCATCCCATCTTTAATTCTACTTTTTGATGGATTGAAAAGAGCTTATGCAGCTAAGGCATCTGATACTGATGATGAAGAGAATGAGGAAGATGATAGTGATATTGACGAAGGTAGTAATTTCTATATATATTTATATATGATGAAGATGAAATCGACGATGTTAGTCAAGAATATCTGGAAAAACTACAAGAAACAGTGACAAGGTCATCCGCGCAACATGGTTTTAATATTTCAAGTTCAATTCAAGATGGACATGGCGATCACAGATCAGACGATGATGGTGACGACTCAGAATACGATGCGAACGAAGAAACTCCACTCGAGTGCTATGCCACGCCTTTAGATTCAAATGATATGAATCAAGATGAATATGTTGTTTTCAAAGAAGTAATCCAAAGTAAGTAATTTATTTACTTAAATAAAACGTTTTTATAACTATAAAACACTTGCATTTATTCTATTTAAGTATTATAAATTCGTACATTCGATTTGTTGAATGAAATACGTAAGTATTTTTTTTTATTTACAGATATTGAAAGAACAGACACAGTTTGGTATAGAGCATTAACTGGTCATTTAACTGCAGAACAGCAAAAGGCACTGCAAGAAATTATCCTCTTAGCAGATCAGCGTGAAGCAGCCCGTGAAAGTAAAAGAATTAAAGAGAGTGGTGGTAAGTCTCTTTAACTGTTTCATATAAATTTCGTTTGCTTTTATAGTCACACCATTATATTACAATAATGCATATATAATGTTTTTGTTTTAGGCTTTGTTTTTGATCCTTTTACTACAGCTGGATCGTTCAATTTCGCTGGATTGCCTACGAGCCATTTATATTTTCTTTAGCTTAAGTAAGTAAATAAATTGCGAAGCATCCAAGTCGAGTATCCTTAACGATATAATACATGTTCCCACTCCGTTAAAACCGAGGTACACACGGGTTAAATCAAACATGAAAATACCCTTTTTTTGTTTGTTTCTCCACGTTCTTCTGACTTTTCATGACTATAGCTGGGTACATGCAACAATGGTTGCATCCTTTCGAGCGTTTGGAAATTCATTCCACGATGGAATCTGCGAAGAAGCACGCTTCTTCTCATAACACAATAATGAAATGTAATTAATTCTCATAGTAAAGAAATGCGTCTAAAATAAATAAAAATAGTAATTTGTATCTTTTGATGTAAAAGATATTTTTGATCACTGTGTATTTCGATTTCCAGATTCCAGGGAATATGTTCTGATCTCGATTTCTAAATCGCCGTGCTTCTTCGCCGAGCTCACGCCAATCCATCGTCCAGCGCGATCGAATCTTTTTTTTGTACGAAAAAGGAATAGATATATGTGAAAATGAAAATGAAAGTGTGAAAGGGGGAAAAAGAGTGCGTGTATGTATGTATGTGTATGAAAGAGAAAAGAAGACGAAAAAGGAGAAAGTAGTTCGATCGCTCTTGAAGCGCTCGAAAAGTGCCTTCAAAACGCTCGACGCGGATGGGACCTAATTTAAAGGCAGCAACTTGGATCGAGGCTAGGACGCTTCTCTAGTTTGTAAGTTTCGTAAACACTGTACTAAAGTATAATAAATTAATGCCAATTAAAGAAAAAGAAATAATTAATTCAAAATTATCGAGCCAGGATATTCATTAATATGAATTGTAATAAAACTGTCAAAAAATCAATTAAATAGATGTAGAACTATGCCTCTTTGTACATCTAGTTTCAATTAAGTCATATTAATGAGTTTCTAACTTCCTCATATATTAGATACGGTAAGTTTTTTTTTGTACAAAATTGTATAATGCATTATCAACTATTTTTTATTCATTTAGTTGAGATAATGAAATAAAACGGAATTTAATAGAAGTTTTACACAATAATATTAGTTACAGTATGCCCGATTAGAAAAATTGAAATCGTTATATCATTAGGAGCAGGATAACGAACTAAAATGCAAAGCTTTTTCCTTAACAGCCTTATATTCCACTTTCGATCGATACATAAGTTAAGTTATGTGATTTCAAATGAAGAGCTTAGCAGGATATACATATCCATATCCTGCGAAGTAATCCTCAGGGCGGAGATACATTTATGAAAGGAGCTGAGATGGTTGAAATTACAAATGCGTTTGCAAATTTCATATACACATACATGTATATATACATACTGTTTTTATAAGATTTGGAATAATTATAATTACAGACACTTACGATAAAATTTTAAATCGAATTTCGATAATTATAATTAAAAGTGACTTTCAATATAAGTTGCGACAATTTTAATCTCTAATTCGTTTTCGTGTGTTTGATCGTATAAAAAATATATTTGGTAAGGTAGCAGCAATTTATGATCACTCACAAATGTGCCCTTTAAAGAAAACTTTTACAGTCGCTAATCGAGAATAGGCTTTTCACTTTAATTACATTTGCCAATGAATTACTAATTAAATAAAAAACTTACAAACGTAAATGCAATTTCAATACTTCGTTACATTTGAGAAAAAGAAAAATAAAAAAGAAAAAGTATCCCACAACTCCGAGTAAACAGCGCATCGGTAGCATTTTTACCGACGGTTTATTGACCAAAGGTACGAAGCACTCGTGAAGACGCAGAGAGGCCCGTTAGAACGAACGAGATAGACGAGAGGAACGCGTTCAAAGCAGGGAGGAGTTCTACTCTCAATCTCTTTCCTCAGTGTGTCCTCGGAGGTAGTGAAAGTTATGTCACTTGAGACACCGTTCAAAACAAAATGAGCCAACATAGCCACCTCTCATAGCTTTTACTACATTCTGCTCAAACGCTCTCCTATTATTTTGCAGAACCTCTGCAGCATCTTTATTCAATGGATCTTCTGGATTTGGTTCCTAAACAAATAATACTTTTTCATAATAATTTGTTTATATATATAAATATGTGTGTGAGTATATGTGTGTTTTATGGAGGACGTTAGACAACAAATTAAATTTCAGTGAATATTTCTGCACAAAATTCTCTGCTTCATGGTAAAGAATGTGATAGATACATTATACTATATACCAAAAAAAGATATTGTAATCCATAGACAATAGAATTAATTGTAAGGACTGGTTTCCAATCTTCTCTTAAAATATTCAGACACACATTGCCATCCAAATCAATATTAGGATGATAAACTTGTGTTTCACATTTTACTTTAGGTGGTTCATGTGGATAATTTGGCCCAACTTTAAAACTAAAAACAAATCTGCCACCTCTATAAAATCCCTGAAAAATTAGGAAGTCATTATCAAATTTCTTATAAAAAAATGTTATTTTCTTACCTCATCTGGGCAAATAATTAGCTTAAAGCTGAGGAGGTCATCTGGATCAGGAAACTCTGTCCCACATGTTTTTGGAAGATTGAGCTCATTTATGTCTACACAAAACAAAAATTTCTCAACACATGTGTAGTGTGAAAGAAAAAATTACATTTCAGATTAAATTTTTCAAGGTTAACTAAAGGTCAAAATATTTGTTTAAAAATTTTAACCATTTTAAGAAGCCTCAAATCTATGTAAATATTAATATTAAAATGATAATATGTCTCTA